TTTGACGGAGGTATTTTTGATTTCGATCCCGAGATCTGTCAAATTGAATTTTTCAATGCACATTTTGAAAAGAGGCATTGCGGTAGTTTGAAGATCTGGCTTCGAATAAGAACCTGGCAAAAATCGTCATGTAACAGGAGCGTTCCAATAGAAATGTAACCGTAGCCCTGTAAAGATACATCAAAATCATCATTCAAAGGTGTTCCGCAATACAACAATGCCGGGAAGTGCGTTTATTCAGAAATTCATGCGTATCACTTCGGAATCGTCGGGGATAGGTATTGTAGGGTGATCTAGCGGTCGAGGATGGCGATGGCCATCAACAGGAAGCTGATCAGCGGCATCATCGAGCTGGTCGGCGACCCGTCAGATTTCGCGGGCTCGGCCCTCAACCCTGGCGCCGGACGCGAATTGCACAGATCCGTGGCGCACGCGCAGAACTCGCTGTAGAAGGCTGAAAAAAGGGTGCTTCTGCTGGCCTTCTGGAATGGGGCCCCGCTCATATTGGTGCGGAATTTTTCGCTGATTCCGCATGCCTTTTCCATTTTTGCCAATTAACCAGATTTAATTTTTGTATGGATAATGGTAAAAACGGCCTTTCTTACGCCTGTAAGTGAACTTGAGCGAAACTCCACCTTGACCGTGTGTGGTTCTCCTGTTAGCCGATTTTTAAATAGTTCGAAGGCTCGGTTCTGGTTTGTTAGCGGTGGGGAGATTTTTACTGCCGGAAAAACGAAAAGAGGTCCCCCCGCTAACAGCCCAGAACCGAAAGCTCCCACGAAGGAGAAAAATGGACAAAATGCGCCAAAGAGTACCTTTGCCTCCAAACTCCTCGCGCACACATTTGCCGATGGGCACCACAGGGCCAGCGTTGGACGGTTTGTACAGACCGCAGACGCGGATCATCCCACTTCCATCTGGGCAATTTGGTATTTCCCGTGTTAGAGTACAGTTTACCTCCCCCCCAACCGGCGCCCAACGTTGTAACACGCCTCCGTGTTGGTCTACAGGTGTGTAAAGTATCTCAAAATGTTTGCCTCGCTTGAGCGAATCTTTTGGTATGTCTTACACACCGGTAGGAAAACGGGGAGCCGAGATACGGTCGGTGGGGTCGGCTGAGGGGGGGCGTAAACTGCATCACAGGGCGGTAACTAATTTTCACCGTCTGAGTCTTGATCGTAGATCGTCATGCAAGCCTCGCCCACGCACGTCGGCAATTCGGTGCTGTTCTTCAGACATAAACGTAATTTCCGAAAGGCAACCCGAATTTCACCTTCATGCATTTCTCGTGGTACTTCACGCCGGTAGCGGTCACGATCACGTTCAGCCTACAATTCCGATTAGGGAATTATCGGGTTATGGTTCAGTTTGGCTAAAGTCTAGGAACCCCCCCCCACCCCAGCTGACTTTTCAACTTTTCTACCGTCCTTATTTTTTTTCGCCCCTTTTTTGGCTCAAATGCAATGTAGTCTCACTTATTAGCCTACTGCAAACATTTTGGCATACATTAGAGCTCGCCAGCACAAAGGGGGGCCGAGATACAACAGTTGGCGCCAGCTGCCGGGGGGGAGTCCTAGAATCTTACCTTAAGTTTACGCCATCCCCCCCAAGCCCAGCTCCTCAGCCATAAGGCACTGCAATGCACCGAATATCTCAAAATGTTCGTCGTGGTCGAAAACCTATAAAAAAAGGTGTTGACTAGTGCAAATTACGCAAACTGTTAGAACGATTTTTACAATAACCGACTGACCGTGATTCGAAAACGCACTTTAGACAAGCAAAAAAGAACTATAGAGAACCCAGACTTAAAATTGCTTTGCAAAATTTTCTAACAATTCTCGGTGTTATCAATTTACTTGGATATAAAAAACCAATGTTTGTGTGTGTGTCTGTGCCACTTTACATCTAACTTCCGTCATTCTGTCCGGAGGATATCTCAAGAGGGGAAGGGTATTAGGCTACGTACGATACGTCATTAGGTGCGTAATGGCCCTGAGACGACTGCACGCAGATCATATTTATCGAAATTGCCTATTTTCGACATTAAAATTAAGTTTTTGTTGGAAAATCGGCGATCCTCTTTGTTAGGAAAGAATTAGCATGCGCCGGTAGTTCCGGTAGCCTATATAATGGGCTAGCGAGCGCGGTTTTCATTTTTGTCATCGTAAATCCAAGAATTATGCAAATTGAAGCGTATCATGCGATCAGACGGGGTCCAGGGTTGAAAAGTCTCGAAGCGGTTTTTCAACCCTGGTTTACTTTAACTTCTTTATAGGAATTCGCCCACGGCGAACATTTTGAGATACTCCGCGCATTAATAGGACGTATGGCTGAAAAGTTGGGCCGGGCGGGGATTAAAATGATCAGATGGGGCGGGGAGGTGAGGTTTAACCGATAAATCTCCCACGCTTCATAGGTCTGCAATTTTTTCAGGTTCTGGTACGAAGCGCACAAGTAGCAGGTCACTGAATGATAATTTAAGACGCTGGAAGCCTGTAGACCATCATACCACTCTTGACCGCATCACATAAATCGGGAGCCTGGACCAAAAGTAGGAATAGCAGGGACGCGACGAGCCGATGGCCGCACATGGCGTTGATGGGAAATACGGGGAACGCAGCGTTTTTGCGTCGGTTTAGTTTTTCAAATGATTTATGCTAATCGTAGTTTTGATAAACGGGATGCAAATTAGGTTTGCCGCGAAATTCGGGTTCTTTCGTATTATCGGGGACCATCGTTCTCTAGGGATCCAATAATTGTTCTAATATTGATTAGTTGGGGTATTTTCATGTTTATTTAGCATTCTAAGTGCCTAGGATTGCGTAAAAAAAATTGAAAATGACAGAAGGTCATTTTGAAGGGAGCGCGACAGCAAGTTTGCGGTAATTTTGTTGTTTTTGTTGTTAGAACGAAACCGTCATCGTAATTTTTATCCTCCAAAGCCCTTCAATAGGTTTTGGGAAGCGCAGCGAGAATTCGTATATGCCATGTAATTGCCGCAACGGAACGCTACCGGAATGCGAGCTCAACGCGACCGCAACGCACCAGCAATACCACCACAACGCGACCGTGACGCATCTACCAGCCCGGCTGCCACGCTACCGCGACACACGAGCAACTCGACTGCCACGCACCCGCAACGCGACCGAAAGACCGCAACGCATCTGTCCCCGAAAGCATAGCCATTTTGTTCCTATTTATTGTGAAAACCGCTCTGGTTGATACGACCCCTTTAAAATCACAAAAACAACTCTAAAAACATCCACGAAAAGGTACACAAGTAACGACAGCTTTATAATATTCTTGAGCCTTCATCTCCGTCAGCCGATAAGAAATCCATCGTCCATCTTCTCGCTTGATGACGACATTTTTCGACGTCAAGACCCTCACGTCCGCAGCTTCCTCCAAAAAGCCCAATGTTTTGATGCCATTCGCCGTGATTGCAAAAAAGTGCAGCTGTTCCCGACCGCATTTTTTCAGCATCTTCTCGGTATCTTCAGCGCCATAATACGCGGCTTCGTTCAGGAATCCGAACGTCTGGAACTCGTCCTTTCGATAGGTATCGTTGATTTGGTGCCAATTCTCGACCTCCAATGCCTCGCTCGCTTGCGTCAAAAATTTTTGAGCATTTGCTCGGGGTAGAAGATGCTTCATCAAAATCCTGGTATGCCTGGAGTGAGGTGTAAAGCGTTTTGATGCGGAATCGTCGGCACCGCTTTTTCTGACCGACATATAGGCGTAAACCTCCTTTTTAGGGTTGAAAAACCGGCAGTAGCCGGGGAACACGCCGAGCACGGTGGCGTGAAGCAGGAGGTCTTCAGTTTCGGGGGGTAGCAAGCGGTACCAAGGAGTTTTCAGTTCACTTTTGGTGGCTTCTTCTTGTCCTTGACGTTCTGAGGATTTGTCGTGGTCCCATTTTTGAAGTGGCAGCTCCTTGGCCAGCCTCCAGCTCCGCCAACTCGAGCTCGCAAACCGGAAGTAGTCCCTCAGCGGTAGGTTGCCAAGAATTTGGTGTTGAGTGGTGGCTGGCAGGTGGAAGAAGAGCGTCTAAAAATTGAGCGTAATTTTTTTAGAAGCGGTGAATATTCTAGGGATTTTGCCGCGGCCGCGACACGCTGGACCTAGCCGTAAACGCCGAGCAGTCGCCTCGCGTCTACCACTCTTCAAAATCTCATTTCGTGTTTTATTTCTTACAGGAAATTTCCTCAAAATTAAGCATATCGGCTTAAAATTTTGTGCAATAAAATGATCATCGAGATGCCAGTCCCGGAAATTATATTTATATTAAAAAGAATTTATTTAACTCACAAATTCAGGCGTTGATTCCAGCAATCCGGTAGTGAAGTCTAGAGCATCCATCGCGAGGGCAGAATTCAGGGCTTTCGTAAGGTAGTATGGTGGTCAGTAGTTCTGAAACTTAAAATGATAGATCTGCTATATCTGTCGTTCTATTCGAATTTTCCCTCGGGCAACCTTGGTGTCATTTCGCAGATGCCGAGGTCAATGTTGTAAAATTAATGTGCTTTTGCGCTTCGGGACAGAGCGAGAGAGAGAGAGCGAGAGAGAGAGATAGAGAGAGAGATAGACAGAGCGAAACAGAGGGAGACAGAGAGCCAGAGTGAGAGCGAGAGTGAGTGAGAGAGAGCGAGCGATAGAGAGTGAGAGTGAGAGAGGTAGTGTTATAGTCTTTACCTGACTCACAAAATTTGCATATTAAGCGAAAAACAGAGCTTACTAAAACCAATTTGCTGGATCACGCTATCTATGTATATGGCGCAAGTCCAGTCCCCCGCAGGAAAATTGATAATCAGATGCGCGCGATCAGATAACGACATCAGCCGGATCAACCCATACGAGGACGACGATATACTTTTTTACTTTCCTTAACTCGTTCTATCACTTTTTTTATGAATTTAAGGTGTTTACTACCGATACAATACTATTTTTCATCGCCCTTTTTCTTGGACGAAAAAGTAATATATCTAGACATGTTGTTTCAGATGCCATTTTGGCAGTTTCTGCTCTTGGTATTCTGCCTGGAAGCTTACGCAAGAAACTTGACAAGTCATAATGGATGTGTTATCGATCCAGGTGGGACTAATAAAAATAAAATTAACTTAACTCGACTAAAACCATTTAACCTATTTTAGTTAATGGCCTTTATTAAGCACTTAAATCTGTTCCATTCGGTCTGAAATTAATTTTTCAAAGTGGAAAATCCAGAATTAACGCAAAATCTTGTTTTTCAGCCCGCCCCTGTGATTTCGTAAACTCAACCTGGGTTCTCGATGACGACCCCTATTTCCTATGGCCCTTTGACGAGGATGAAGCTGTCGCCAAAAATTGGACCCAATTCGAGGACGCCCAAATCGAGGCCATTTCCAAATTCTGTTCGGTTGGCGACTATCAACATCGGCTGCTCCTTGCCCACTTCCACTGGATGGCCAAGGACCAAATTCTACTTGAAGAAATTCGGAAATATTTCGGCTTAACTCCCCGCAGAAATGGGTATCATCTAGAGGAGGGCCCCGCCGAAAACTATGCAAAAATCGATCAAAATCTTCAAAAATTCCTGGAGAAATTGAAGAAAAACGTGCCAAACGAAGTGTCGTGGCTCAAAAACTTGACTGAAACCCGAAAATTACTGGATGAAGAGCTACCAATAATTCGCAAGATTTTTCAACTATTTTTACAGCACCAGGATTATAAGGAGATCCCGAAATTGGATAAAAGGGTATCGGAGGCCTTAAGAATCTCCAGTAATACCTTAAAAGAAGCGATTATGGCCTGCGAGCTGCACAAATTCGAGCAGGCTAGCAGCGGATTCTTGGAGTCGGTGAAGAAAATGGAGGCGGACATGGCAAAGCATTTGGTGGCTTAAATTTCCAGAACTGTCTTTGTAATCAATAGAATAATAAAAAGTTTTATATAACGTTCTTTAATAATGATAAACGCACCTCGATTTCTCGATACCTTTCGGGGTAACTGGAGCGAAAAATCCTCGATACCGAAAACGATTTTTTGCTGCTGTAGTCTAATTGACAGCCAAGGTAAAGAATAATTAATATTACGATACAGATCTGCAAAATCCGATTTTGCCGTTTTAAAGGATTTAGGAAGAGAAATCTACAGATATTCGTAATTTCTAAAATTTGAGGGCACAGAAATATGAAACCTCGATCCTTTAAAAATAGCTCCCCTTCTCTTACTCTCCCTCTTTCTCTGCATCACTCCCTCTCCCTCTCGCCCTCTCTATCTCTCGCACCCACTCTCTCCCTCTCTCTCTCTCTCTCTCTCTCTCTCTCTCTCTCTCCCCCTCTATTTCTCTTTAACTTCCCTGTCCCTTGACACAAACCCAATCAAATCAGCAAGCCAGTTTTTTGCAGCCCCCAATTTCCATGCAGACCAGACGGTTCCTGGTGGCATAGACCGCCTCTTGCCCCCGATCAAACTAGGCACGTCAATAAATTTGCATAGAAAAACAGGGAGCCACGATGTCGGGAAGGGAACGACCGGGTGCATTTTTGGAGGGCCCCTGCAGAAAATAGCACTCGATCAAAATTGTCTGCTACAATATTGTTTCGACTTCGAATGGGCCCGAGGATTTTTGATGTTGAGGAGAATCAAAAAAGACAAGTATGGGTTGCATCGAAATGTAGTGTCCTTTACGAGCGTCTTGGAATTTACAAAAATTTACGTGAAGGTTCTGGATCGGCGTTATATTTCGAAAAAAAGATTACAAACTGATTTTTTTGACTAGGAATTCTTGATGATGCACCACGACGATATGCCGAAAATAATTTTCATGAAAATCACAACTTAAAAAATCGTTTCGTCGTGAATATCTTGTTCAAAGTTTCATTTTGATGAGGTTTTTTCCTAGCAAACGTGAAGAAAAATGAAACTTTTGCTGTGAAATTCTCGGATTATTCAACGTGAATTTTCGACAAAATGGTTTTCGACAAAACTAATTTTGAAATTCTGATTTTTAACGAAAATTGAATAATCCGCGAGGGCGTGTCAAGGTTTGCAAATTGCCGCTCTAAACTTGATATTGTTGGCTGTCTTAATGGTCCAGCGGTTTTTAACAATGGTCGAATTCAGAATTCTGTGCCGTTAAATATATTCTTTTGAAGCAGAACATACCAAATTATCGCCATGATTACGTTATTTTAGCCCGTCACCATCCCCTATCTCCGAATCTTTATCCTGATCCTCGGCGTAGCGGCTGTCTCGCTCCCAATTTCCTGCTATTTTGCCCTCATTTTTGCCTCCGCTTGCAACAATCCACACCGAAGTAATGCGGCGGAAATTTATTTAAAGTGAGTTTAAAAATTAGAAGAAATTATAAAGCTGGCCTTAAAAATTCAGTGATACCTCGAATTCACCCATTCTCTACCTTCCAAGCAGGCTGGAATCTACAGCAATGTCGGCATATCCTATCGGCCAACTCCTTACGCTACCATTTTTACCGTTAATTCGGCATATACCGATCAAGTAAGTATCCTCAAATTTTTTTTTTGGAAGATTGTATATTTTATTCTATTTTATTATATTTTTTCTCTTATTAAAAAGTATAAATCCTGTAGCTTAAATTCAACCACAGAACAAGTGGTGGTATGATAAGATATTTGCAAAGAATAAACGAGAAAATGTTTTTTATTAATTAAGTACATTTTTAGGCTCCAAGTCCTGATCGGCATCGCCTTTTCAAGTATCGTCTCCTTCCTATTCCCACTTTTATATGATGTGAACCCATGGCTGGCTGTAAGTATGAGGTATCTCATTTTTGATAGATTAAGTCATAAAAATAGCCAGACCAGTTCATAGATTTGATTCTGTTTATAAACCCGGTAAAGGTAGTAAAAAGTATCGATTATCTCGTTTTACTCAACGCGGGTAGGCGGAAAGGGCAGGCCGAGACCACAGTCCCTTCAAAACTCCCTGCCCTCTCCCACCCCGCCATGACTCCTTGGCGCAATGGTAGCGCGTTCGACTCCAGATCGAAAGGTTGGGTGTTCGAGTCACTCAGGGGTCAAAATCTTTTGCGTTTTGGAATTTGGGCGGGAGATAGGCTCCTGGTAACTGGATTTGTAGCCGGCAAACGTGGATTGTATTTTTGGGCGAGCTTCACGGGTTTGCCGTCATTTTTAAAGGGCGTTTTTAAGAAAATATTGCCAGTTATTATCCTTATTCTCTGCGCAGAAAGTTTCCGAAAGGCGCCGCTTGATACCTTAACAACGTTCTTGTTGTTTTTCGCATGGGTGCTGATTGATAGCGCTAATTGCAACGTTTTTAAAGACCTGGTTTCCAGATTCTTCCACGGGATCTCGACGGCTGCAGCCGTCCCGTTGCTCGGCCACATTTGCTCCCACTGGGCCCCGAAATCGGAAATCGGGCTGTTCGTCGGAACGGTGACTTGTTTTCCGCAGGTCAGCCGAGCGGGATTATGCCAAAAATCTATGCTAAACTGGGGTGGAACGCCGTTCCGTTGGTGACCAAAAAAATATCACCATCAAATATCACCTTCTCAAATTTATATATTTCAAAATTAATCCTCAAATTAATATTAAAAAAGATCAGTAAAAGCTTTTTTTAAGCAAGGTAGTAAAAAGAAGAGAAGGTTATGGATGCCCTAAAACGATGTAATCTTCATTTAACCGTTGATTTTATCCCCCCCCCACCGTTATCCTATAAGTACCGTCTTCCTGCAAAAAAAAATTCAGTTTGCGCTTTTCTTCACGCAAGCAACCAGTGGAGCAATTTGCGAGTACGCTGGCTGGCGCTGGATTTTCTACGTCCACGGGATTGTCACGTTGATGGTGGCGGCGTTGTGGTATTTTTTCTTTCATAAAATCTGTACTTCTAATACCCAGGGCTCTGCTTTTCCACGACTTCCCCAGCGACCACCCGCGCCTCCACCTTGACGAGCTGGGAAAAATTTCGCACGGGAAATTAGGCCACGCGACGACGGCGGCAAGGAGTTCAAACCACGAAAAGTTGAACGTGCCTTATTGGTTGGTAATTTTGGGTTGAGCGAAGATCCTAAAACGTGAGGGTCGACGTAAACGCAATGACCGCGGCGCCTCGGCTTAGCTTCGCTCCGAATAAGAATGAAACTTTTAGCTTTCGGAAGCCTATTTCATTTCGGAGTCCTTTTCCATATTCAGGCAACTCATCACCCACAAAGGAGTCCTCGCTGTCCTTGCCGCCGCTTTCGGGACCTACCACGGTATTTTACCGTCCGTCAACTATGCACCATTGATCATGAAGGTAGACCTAAAAATACCATTAAAAAGGTATATATTGATGATCCCCAAACTTTCTGACCTCCGCTAAAGTATCAAAAAATGGCATACCCTAGCCGCGTGAAAAATAGTAAAACTTTTTGTGCCTCATTCGGTCGGGGCCGTTGGCCCGCGACCCTTCAAAAGCCCCTCCCCTCTCTCCACCCGCATGACTCCTTGGCGCAATGGTAGCGCGTTCGACTCCAGATCGAAAGGTTGGGTGTTCGAGTCACTCAGGGGTCAAAATTTTTTGCTTTTTGGAAAGCCGGGGGCAAATAGTTTCCTGTTACCGGGATTTGTATCCGGGGTGGATTTAAAGTGCTTTTCGGACAGTTGTTGTGAGCTCGCAATTCACGATTTTACCATAGAACGCCATTTTAGGCATTAAAAACAACCTGTTAGTAAATTGTAAGCGGAGAATTGAAATATGCTAAAAACGTATCCAAGGCTTGTGAATACGGCATCACCTATTGTGGTAGTCACGCTGCAAAAACAACGAATTTTAAATTAAATTCTGCTGTTTTAGAAAGGCCTCGAGATGTCTGAAATCACAATCTCCTACTTCACCTCGATAAGTGTCGCCCTGCAAGCGACATTGAAGATTTTGAGTGGTATTTTAACAAAAGTCGCCGATGTCTACTGGCCATTTACAGGCATCATCTCCGACAAGATGACCATGACTGAGGCCAGCAAGCTGAAGATGTTCAACACAATTTCTTGCGGGCTACCCGGAATGCTATTGATTATTACGCCGTTTTTGCCGAAAGGCAACAAGGTGTGGAAATTTTTATGTTGAAAAATCCTATATTTTTTTAGATACTCTGTGCTATCATGATGGTGATATGCCAGGCAATATTAGGGTTAAATTCGGCCGGGTTTAATCGGGCAGCGATTGTGGTTGGAGGGTAGGTTTAGCAGGAGAAGAGAGAAAAAGAGAGAAAGAGAGAGAGAGAGAGAGAGAGAGAGAGAGAGAGAGAGAGAGAGAGAGAGAGAGAGAGAGAGAGAGAGAGATCAAGAGAGAGAGAGGAGAGAGAGAAAGCTAATAACTCTCGTTACATTTAGTAAATACTCGTCAACAATAATGGTCTGGGTGGGCATCATCCTAAATTCTGCCCTCGCCATCCAGCCCTACATCATTTCGTGGGTGGCCCCGGAGCATACTTGGGTTCAATGGTAATTTTTTACTGCTTGAAATAAAATCGAGTTATTTAAATTACCTTAAATTAATTTGTCATAATTTTTTCTAAGTAGATTCATTTTATTGAATCAGTTTCTGAAAATTACAAGTCTCTGCTAATTCCAGGATGCCTCTATTCATCGGCCACGGCTCCATCATCTTCCTCTCGAATCTCATCTTTTGCTGGTGGACCAACGGGAAAGCATTTGTCGGGAAGTAGACAAGATTTTTGTATTTATTGGCTTGTATTTAATAAAAATGTAAATATGTATCTTTTGTGAAATTCAGAATCAGTTCTTTGATCGATAGTTCATGGAGGTGACGGCTGTTCCTAAAAAACGATTCAATTGCATTAATAGTTTTCTCACTAAAACTACGGTATCATCAAATCATATTTAATGAATTTTAATTAGGTTGATGAAATTCTTAATTTTTGTAAACTTATTTTTCATGGAAATTTTTGTTAATTTACCTGTGGACGCCTGCCCAGTTAAACTTCTGAATTTTTGTTGCAAAACTTTGACGATTTCTTCGTGTCGGGAGGTGACAAGAAGGACATTAACGACTCCTGAATTTCATCAAGGATAAGACTAATTTAATACCGGGGTTTTTATACCTTTACTAACCCCACAAATATACCACACCACTTGCCAGCTGGCCAGCCCGAACGGGTTAAAAGTCAGGAAAACATCCGGCAGCACTACGCACAGGAACTCGGCTGCTACAGTAAGCCCTGAAAAAGCGTGAATTTTAATTTGACATCAATTTTAGCTTGGTATATTTTTTATTAATGCATTAAACCAGGAAGTTGAAGCTTCGTGATAACTTTTGAGCTATTTGATATTTTTATCAAAATTTTAAACATAATTCCAGCCGATTTTCCGTACGGATGCTTGGTGCTTTATGGATCGGCGCGTGCGGGAAACGGATAAAAAAAGGCATGTTTTTCGCTATTTTTCACGCTTTTTCTACTTTCCAAAATTTTTGTCTCATTGAAAATCCTTTTTGGCAATCAACCAAAATTTATCCGTCAAATTGGAGGCATTAAACACTTTGAAAAGTTTATAAAATAAAAAAAACTTTAATAAGCCGAAATTCCTCAAAAACCTCACCTATCGTTCTTGTCGTGCGAATAATTTGCTTTGTGTAAATTTCACTCGGTTGCCCCCGCTTTGGCTTTTCCGCCCCTCTGAAAATAATAAATATTTTTTTAAAATTTTTAAAAAAAAGAAACAAAAAAAAAAAAAACTGTATAATCCTGGCCGTAATCGGCAAGTATAGTAGGCTGCTCAGCACAAGTGTACTCATCCGGAAATACAGCATATAGCGCCAGATCCACGGCTGATAGCACTCGGACGTAAAGCACTCGGCAGAACTCTTACACTTATAGTCGGCGTCCCGGTTTGGATTATATAGATAAAAATCGAGGACAACGAAATTACATAGCAAGATATTACTAAAAATAACTTTAGAAAGATTACACCTTTTCAAACCTGCTATTGTAACAAAGGAAAATTGATTCGTCAGCCCACGATAGAGTCCCAGTTTCATCACGGCGATACATCTGAGAAAAGTAAGGCAATTATTTTTATAATTTTCCATTAAATGTACATACCTATCGATTGATACGGCCATAGTTGAGGCGCCCATTAACTGGTACGAATACAGGAATATGACCGGGAAAACGTAGCGTATACATTCGGTATTGAGGATTTGGATATCGTCTGAAAGTTATATCAATACGTTAAAGAAAAAAATTAAAAAAAATGCTGAAGAAATTTGGATGATGACCAAAACCTGGGATCTGAATTTTGGTTTCAAACCATTACCTAAATCATGAACCGACAGCCACAACCGTACGGAACCGGAATTTAGCGTAGCCAAAGCATGAGACGCATCCGCGATGCACATGAACCCAATTATCACTAGCTCCTTGTGACTTCTAGACGTTACTAAGATTTTCACTTTATTCGCTACGCTTTCCATACTTTTAATAGGTTAAAACCATTGAATTAGGTAAATCTGTAAATTTACCTTAAATGCCGATTCCAGAAAATGAGCATAATAAACGGTATATCGCATAGGAGGATCAAAGAGGCTCAAATGTTCTTGTAAGTGTATGAAAAAGCTGAACCTACAAACTATGGTGAATAAAACGTAGGTGACGTCGACGCCTGGCATTAGAATCTGAATACGGTATACGACGCGCCTGAAAGGCCAAATATTCAGAAATTCTAAAAAAAAGATAATTGTGGAATCAAAAAGTACAAAATTGGGTTCCCGAAATGCATCAAATTTTACCTAAAAATCCGCACAAAGCGTCAGACATCTTTGAAAATGAATAATGCTACAAAATCCGCGGGTCCCGAGAAATTCTCGCGCCAATTTAGCGACTTTGCATTCGACCTGGCCGAACTGACCAATTTCCCACCGGCTTTTGAGCGTTTGGACTATTAGTGCGCCGAAAGCGTGACCCGAACCCGATGTGAAAGCGAAGATCTTGAATTAGGCAAAATTTGGCACAAAACAGCCTATTTCCGGTCGTTTTTTCCGGGGCTGAACTCTGTGAGAAACGGCAAGCCGATGGGTTTGATATTTGCAAGTAGAGAAAAGATCACACAATATTTTTGTAAATTTTATTTTCAATCCACACTCCGGTTCTTTCGCATCGTCGGCGAGCCGAACTTTTTTCTGTATAAGTCTGGAAATGTTTAGTAACTGAATAGCAACGGCGATTTTAGTAAAAAAATAGCGATACGTTGACTATAAAACTATCTAAAAACCGTTAGTTTTGAAAAAATCTAATTTTGGACAAAGATCGGCAATGCTCCCACGAAAAACCTTTATTTTTGACATGCTTAGAAAAATTTTATAAAGTTTTCAGGCCTAAATCTAGTAAAAAAAAACAAAAACAAATTGTATCCTAAGAAAGAATGAAACTAACTTAAAGAAACAAATATTTTCATGGCTACCAAGTATTCCCAGGGCACATTGTTTTCTTGTTCACTTCCGGTTGCCAAAAAGAGCTTTTACACAGAAAGACTGTGACGCCAGCCCTAACCTCGGAGAAAATCTTCTGCGCTATACAACCCACTTATGCATAGATCCACATATAGTTGGCAAAGCTTGTCGTCATCGCCAAATATTTGCCAAAGCAATACCTTCACACCCGCTCGTGAAAAAGGAACAGCCGCAGGGATACAATCACTGCGGACTTCTTATGTCCCAAAAGTTGCAATTTCGAAAGCTCGAGTTCCGGTGCACCCGCGTCTACGATTTACGCACTCCAAACATCCAGCGCTTCACTCACTTTCACAGTTCGCTATGTAGTCGATAAATTATTATGTATTTTGCAATTTTCACTCTCATGGCTGGGGCGTTATACAGATTTATTGGTCCCTGATGAAGAACACAAGTGAAAAAGAGATCCGCAAATGCACAACATAAACACAAATTAGAACAAATTCGAAAATGAAAGACACGGTTAAGGCAATTAGTGAGATCGTTTCTAAGAACAATGAATACACTTAAAAATCCGCATCAAACTCGATTTGACGATCCTCCTCGGAGCTCATCACGCCCGGCTTTTGGTACTCCGAGACGCGCTTCTCGAAGAAATTCGTCTTGCCCTCGATCGAGATGTTCTCCATGAAGTCGAAGGGGTTCTTGGAGTTGAAGAGCTGGAAACAATAGCTTATATGGGGTAACTAGGGTAAGTCATACCTTATCACAACCAAGCTCAGCCAGCAGATGATCCGCAACAAATTCAATGTACTGCGACATCAACTTCTTGTTCATCCCAATCATGTCGACGGGCAGCGCCTCGGTCAGGAATTCCTGCTCAATCTTGACAGCATCAGCGATGATGTGGTGAATTCTTTCTTGGGAGAGCTTGTTGTTGATATGACGATACATCAGACAGGCAAAGTCCCTGGAAAGAAAGTTGAGTCCGAAATTGAAGGTCGTACCTATGCAACCCTTCATCGCGAGAAATTAGTTCGTTGGAATGGGTGAGGCCAGGCATCAGTCCACGCTTCTTCAACCAGAAAATGGCGGCGAAAGATCCAGAGAAGAAGATTCCTTCAACGGCGGCAAAGGCGATGACACGCTCCGAGAAAGTAGACTTCTGGTCGGCAATCCAACGTAGAGCCCAGTCGGCCTTCTTCTTGATGAACGGGAACTCTTCGATGGCATTGAACAGCATATGCCTAAAAAGAAAGCTTTGAAAGGGGATGAAGCCGTTACCTTTCCTTATCGTCTCGGATGTAGGTCTCAATCATTTTTGAGTACATCTCGGAATGGATGTTCTCGATGGCGATCTGGAACCCGTAGAAGAAGCGCGCTTCCGGGACTTGAACTTCTTGGGCAAAGCGCTCGACCTAAAAAGAAAAAAAAATTCATAACAATTTACGGCGTCAACGTTACCAAATTTTCATTGACGATCCCATCAGACGCGGCGAAGAAGGCAAGCACCCGAGAAACGAAGAAGCGCTCATTGTCGTTCAACTTTTCCCAATCGTTCATATCCTGAAAATTGACATTACAAAAAGCAAATAATGAGCTCACCTTTCCCAAATCGACCTCTTCGACTGTCCAGAAAGAAGCGACCGCCTTCTTATAGAATCCCCAAATGTCGTGGTACTGCAGGGGGAAAATGACGAAGCGATTTGGGTTTTCTTTCAGCAGCGGTTCCTCAAGGAGAGGGGCGGGGGCGTGGTGTTCCTGCCTGTCGAGGTCTTTCGTAGCCTAAAAAATATAAAGTTGATGATCTAATGCATACCGTGACGACGGGGGCGGCATTTTCCTTGTCGACCAAGGTAGTCATTGTCGAAGTTGAATTCTGTAAAAAAGGAGAAAGTCAAGGCAAAAAGCTATCGAAGTCTGTCAGAAATTGAGAACGGAACAGAAGCGAGACATTAGCAGCTAAAAATAGAGATGTCTGTAAGACTATCTGATGATCGTTGCTCTTTTTCTTATTTTTTTAGTCATAGCGATCCTTTAGATAGAGTAAATGATTAGAATCTGGTTATCAAGAACTTCTTGAAAAAACTTCTGCAATATTCGTCTTACTATGCCCCGTCATGCGGGCCCGCTAAGTCTGCAAAAACAAAGAAAAAAAAGGTCATAGTTAAAATAGAACGCCCAACCAAGTAAAAAAACTGAGGAATTGGATTGGTCGAATTTACTAAGACCCGTGAGCCGGCCGCCCTTCGACGCTGCGCGACCCGGGCCCTTACGGCTACGGTGTCATCTGCAATCGCGCGGAACGGAAGTTCGGTTTGGATTTTAGCGTGGAAAAAATCCCACGGAAGCGTCAGCGTTGTTAAAATTTGAAAGGGAACGCGCTGTTGATTCGCAAAAACCCCAGCACGCGTCCAGACCTGTTTGGGTGGGCGAGGCAAAAGGAAAAAGAACGGGAGAGGGAGAGACAAAGGGCCGCGCCGTCCCTCTCTTTGGCCCGCGCACTTTGCCACACTGAGGACATGGGCCGTAAGCAATCGGCCTGTTTCCGACTCGGTACGAGTATTTTGTTGTATTTTAGGTAAAATTTAGGTTATAATTTTTAGGTTACAATTTAGGTCACCAGGTAGCTTTTCCTTAAAATTCTATTGGCTGCAACCGAAATTTTGCATTTTTGCAGTCATTTGGCTCCGTTGCGACGATTTCCGTCATTTTAGGCGGTTGCGAAATCTGAATTTAGGCGCGAACGCTTATTTACGGAAATTTGGGCTTGAAATCAGCGCGTATGAAATGAGAGACATGTAGCTTTCTGGGATCTTTTTCGTTCCTTTACTATTATTATGGCAAGTCAAAAAAAAGGGCAAGCTTCCTATAAATTATATCGTCTCGTGGGGGAATTCAATTTCACTTCGTCTCGTCCGGTAATTCTTTGTTATTTCTAGTTTTTTCCCGCTTCTTAAAGATTTGGAAACGGATGAGGATTTTTGATCAGGCGACTTTAAAAAACACAAATATTTTCATGGCTACAAAGTATTCCCCTGGGCACGATTGTTTTTTTAAATTGTTCACTTCCGGTTATCGAAAAGAGCTTTTCAACAGGCCTTCGAAGTCTTTTTTTTCATCATTTCATCCCTTTCATTAATGTACTTTCGTTTTCAACGCTGTGATCAAAATATGAATGCTTTATCAACCCCTAAAAAGCACCAAGATTCCTCTCCGATCGCACATTTGAGGAGGTGAGCACAGTTGCTAAAAAGAGGGAAGGCTTTATAGCACCGATATAAAAACCCGAACCAAGAGAACAAAAAATGACAAGATCCTATCGCATAAAAACCGTACTGGCCGTCGGCTGCTTCGAAAGGCGGCGGAACTTTCGATTCAGCAACTTGAAAATCTCGTCGTGTTGTAGGGTGACGAGAAGGACGTTGATTGCGCCTAAAAATACGCAGCGTAATACGAACGAGAGTAGTACGATAGTGTAACTGCGCTGGTTACGGTGGGTAATTACATAGGATTATTCCGGGAACCCTGCGCACGAAAAAATTAGGCATTTCTTAATTGAACGTAGTTAATTTGATAAATTAAGAAACAGTAAAGTTTGGATATTAAACCCCCTATTCCTAAAAAATTCTACAAAATCTAATAAAAGCATCAAAGAATGGAAGCGCAAGGCATGGCTGGCTTTACTGACTATGGATAGCCTATGGATTTGGACACGACCGCGACACTCAACGTGCACGCTACGCACGTAACGAAATACTATCGTTTGCGCGTCATAATCGATTACGATGTGCAAAAGCGGGCAAGCGCCACAAGTCACGCGCCTGCTTTGTTACCTATTATTTTCAGCGTCTTACGCAATGCAAAAGTAAGCGTACGCTTTGCGTGTTGTCACGCGGAAAATTTCGTGGAGTAGGCCGCCGTCATTATCGTACCATACGCGAAGAAAAACCAAAGCACGAGTCGCTTGCGCGTTGTTTGTCGCTTTGCGCGCCGAAATCCATACGGAATCTAGAGTCAAGAATCCAGACTCATGCTTTGCCAATCCCTTTAATCCCCCTCTAAACCCACCTTTACTAACACCACAGATATACCAAATCACTTGGTACCGGGCCAGGCCGAATGGGTTGAAATTCAAGAATATATCTGGTATCACCACGAATACAAACTCCGCGGCTACCGTAAATCCTAAACAGAAAACTTGAATTTTTAGTGCCAAA